GTAATAAACTAAAATAGTAATAATGAATGTTAAAGACACTTTATATGTCAGGAATTTTTCCATGGCCTGGAAATCAAAAGATTTGTCCAAGCAAAAATATAACATGATTAATGATGAATATAAACGAGTAGCCTAGGAATGTAAGAATAAAATTGATGACTCTAAATAACAAAATAAGTTTCAATTTACAAAGCACAAGAAAAGAATCAGTGAAAGGGTCCAAACTCTGAGTAAGAGGAGGCACAAAGGGATAGGTCCATTACCTAGATGTTATTAAATAAGAAAGGAGAACAAGTAACAGACTTTCAAAGACTGATTCTTTACTTCATACATTGTAAAAGAGATATATTGTGACCTGCTCCTTTCATAAAATTAATCTTATACAGGAAATAAGAGTGGAACCAAAGCACAGAAAAGAATAGCCTAAGGAATCTTAATATAGATGTGCTCAAGTGGCAAATCCTAATAAAATTCATCCTAGAATGATTGAGGAATTAGGCACCACTGATTTTATTTATTTATTTAATATCCCAGAGGGTGAAAATAGCCAGCAAAATGGGTTTGTACATGCCTGGTTTTGTGCCTGTTTATTCTTCTGTTAAGAGAATTATTGAAGATGTCAGTTTTGATTCCAGATAAAGGTTTAGGAGTAAATAGTTTAGCAATTAATTTGTATCTAATAATGGGTAGAAGAGAGATTGTAAAACAGCCAGTATGGTTTGATGAGACCTGTTTGTAAGAAACCTCAGCCTGTTTCTCCTTTTAAAGAGGATCACAAGTTAGTAAGAGGAAAACTTAAAGTAAAATACAGCTTGATTTTAATAAAGTCTTTTTCCCTACATAGATAAACTAGGGAAATGTAATATCAATGCTATCTCCATTAGATGCTGATATTATCAGTATCACGTTTAAAAGTTGCTTCTTCTGGGTAATTATCTATAGTGCTCTGTCAAGATGAAAAGGCATTAATGAGTTGGATGATGGAAGAGAACACATACTTAGAAATGTTACTCAGGATAGTAGCCAGAGAGGGGGTTAAAATTTGTTTATTTTTTTACTTTGTTTTCAACATAAGATATGAATCCAGAAAACTCTTGATGGGTTTGAAGAAAATATCTACAATCAACAAGATGAAAAGCAGTGCAGGCAAGTATGAAGCACTGCATTTAACAGGACAAACTCAAATACATGAATCTAAACCAGGAAATAATTATTCAGAGAGAAAAGCGACAGAAAAAGATAAGAAGATATACTAGATCTCAAGGTAAATTCTGATATGCTGCTGGAAAAGAGTATAGTTGTTTATTTGTGGAGTTTGTTTGGATTTTTTGTTTGATTTGGTTTTTCTGGAGCATGTTGTAGAAAAGAGGACGTTGTGTAGTCTGGCAAATCTCCTTTGCATAGTTGGCCCCCTCACATGCCTTTCTGCTTTTTTGCTCTTGAGAAGGTGCAACAAAATGGAAATTCTTCTCCGTTGTTGTTACTGTTTTCTGCTGTGGAATGAAAAGCATTCTTCTTTTAATAAAGATGCTTTAGATTGAACATAAGAAAAAGATTCTTTGTAATTATTAGAGTGATAAAACACTGGAAGAAACTACTTAGAAAAACTGTGGAATTAGCTTTCTTGATAGTTAAGCACCTGTCAGTATATTCCTGAGCCTGTGTTTGTGCTGAGTTAGGATTTTGTAGTCTCTTGTGATCTATTCCATCCCTGCATAAGTACAATGCTCCAAATACATGTTTTGGCTGCACAGAAGAGATCATCTAAAAGAGTTGGAACAGTAAGGAACAAAGTTTTTTTGTCATTTAGTAAATATATTTCTATTTGCTTTTCCAAAAAGTGTTTTGACAAATCATACGTAAAGTTATTTTGAGGCTTTTGCATATAGGTTCATTTGTCTTTTAATGATTGTGCTACAAAAGCAGGAAATGCAATTGCAGTAGTTCTGAGATAGTAGAAACCTCTTGATTACTTATCCACAATGGAACAGTCCTGTGGAAAAAATGGCACCCAAGAGGTTACTTGGATTTGTATGTTTCTGCAGGCAAAGTTTACAAACCTGTAAATTTAAATGTAGAATTTTTGTAGGCAGAATGCATTGACAGATATCCCTGATGGTAATACATCTCATACTGATAGTTCCAGAAGAGGTCAATAATAATGCTTGTATTGATAGCAGCAATGCAGGAGATGTTACTTGGTATTATAGCTAAAATCCATGTTATCACCTTAATTATAATTACATTAATATTGACAGGCTGTTGACAATACTTCCATTACTATTGATAGATTTCTGTCAATAACGTTTCCAAATAAAATATATTCATTCATAATTTGTACAATGCTCAATAACAGCACTAATATATACCAGAAGAAATTCCTCTTTCCCTAGTGATATACAATCATTATTTTTTTTGTTTTGCAATGTACTGTACAACTGTTTATTTTTTTATTTAAAAAAAACCCAAACAGACAAAATATAGGTTCTTTAAGAAAGAAACATAATAGTTTTTTGTTTTGTTTTGAGTTTTTTGGGGGAGGCAATTCATTTTTTTTCTATGCAATATCTGTGACTATAAAATCAACAGAGAACCTTTCAAGTAGTAGTCTTTACTATTCTGTCTTAAAGTCTATTTATATAGCAAGTTAATCACCCATAGAGTTTATCACACAGAGTTTATCATATATTTGAGTGTTAATACTTGTCTCTTTCATTACTGGATCTATGATTCTGAGTTCTTAAGTTTTAAACTACTTAGAGAGTGAAGGAATTGTCAAATTCTTACTGTTTTATGTCCAGTTGGAATTTCTCATGTAGCGACTTATCACACACTTGCCTCTCTGCTTTTTTCACTGCATCTCCCAGAAAAGTGAGATGCAGTGAAAGAATCTTCACTGCAGCCCCCTAGGTAGTGAAAGATTACTCATAGATAATTTCTTAGCTGCCTTATCTTCAAGTTGAACAATCTGAGTCCCTTCAAGCTCTTCTTATATATCAGGTGTTAGGGGTCCCTAATGGTATTAATGAGTGGACTCTTCAGTTTGTTGACATTTCTTTTGTACTATTGATAGAAATGAGGCAAAACTGGAGGTATTATCCCAGGTGTAGGCTCAACAATGCCCAGTGGAGAGTAATAAGCACATCCTCCAGTCTGCTTGGCTGTGCCCATGCTAATGCACTGCAAGGATGCACTGTGACTTGTGTTCAGCTTTCTGCCTACCAGAATCCCTACATCCTTTTTTCAAAGTGAATGTGCAGTCACAGAGGCTCCCAAAATATAAAGATCCATTGACTTTCTCGTATATTTCGTGTTCCATCATAATCCTATGTATTTGACACATTTTCCATGGATTTCAGAAGGTTCCTCACTTGCTCAGATTTCTTTAGGTAATATGGCTATAATGGGAGGAAAAAATCTTTACAGATTTAGTCTACCTTACTTGAAAGAAATCTACAACAGAAATTTCTCATAGGACCTGGGATAATGGGACACAGCTGGAAAAGATGGTTGAACTGATGTTGGAAAACTGTCTTAGTAGATGGATCAAGGAAGTTGTTTGCTAAGATGTTCCTTTCGAGTAACTTTAGGATTTTTAAAGGAGATTTTGTGTATTGGGAATTGTATACTGAAAACACTGAAACAAGATGAATGGAGTGAAATGAGAAAAAGAGAAAATGAAGAAGACATTAAACTTTTAGGGGTTATGAGTGAATAACACTAAACTAGAGTGACAGGTTCCAGAGCAAATGATTCTAAGAGGCTCTGGTTCCTAAAATGCTAGTAAGTTGAGATGGGAGGTAGAAGGATGGATAGTCATTAACACTCGAGTTCTTGAAGTGATGCAGCAAGATCTAGTAGGGGTTGAATTGACCCTTTGATCATAAAGTAGAGGAGTGCAGTTGTTTGGATTGTACTGGAAAAGGTTTCCTGTGCTTTGGTTCCTGCTGCAGAACAGAGAAGTGTGAGCGAGACAGGCTTGGGTGTACAACCTTTGTATGCCGGCTTTTTGGCCTGTGTGGGTTGATGCAATAAACCCCAAAGCTGTTTGTCCAGAGGAAGTGGCCTGTGCTACTTTCAGCCATATTTTGCCTGCTAATGAGGAAGAAGCTTAAAGGGTTTTCTGTAAAGTAGGTCTTTCTGTTGGGTATTTTAGTGAAATGCTTTTCTTGGTTGTATTTTACTCTTGTAGAACTTTTTGCCAAAATGTCTTTTTTCTGTCACTTAATTGAAAGAAACTCTCTTAGTGAAAGTGTAGTAGTGTTTTCTCCGGAGGCGGGCTTGAGGTAATACCGAACCAAAAAGCTTTTTAAAAGCCTTAAAGAAATGTAACTGCTCTGAGCAGCTTGTGGCTTAAAATCCGGAGTGTAACAGGTGTTATCTGTATTTTACTTTTGCAGCTTGGTGCATTTATTTTCTTAGTCACAGAATTCCAGATACAATAACATTTAAAGGAAGCAATTTTAAAAAAGTAAATCTTAAATTTGTTAGTATCTCTAAGATTATACTTTCAACTGCAGCTGCTGAAGTGTTCATGTTATTTTCTGTCCTCCTCACTATTCTTTTCTAGATTTTCAGTATGTTCATTTTCCCAATTTTTCCATAGAACACCATAAAATTTTACAGTTCTTTCTGATCTGTTTTAATGTCCAGTTGAATATTACAATAATGCCCTGCAATATTTTTTAAAATGAATACAGTGAAATACTAAATTGGTGGATTTTTCTAAATACCTAGATGTTGAACACTTCTCTGTAACCAAATCTAAATATTATTTGTGAGAAATAGTCAAATATAATTTCATTTGAGATGAAATTTCTTACTGTTAATGCAAAGCTTCTTGAAAGGATTTGTAACATATTAATAACAAATAATAGCATTCTGAATATATTTGTTTACTACTGGTATATTATGGTTTTGTTATCTTTATTAAAAACAGAAATAGGAAATGATCCATTACACTAAAATCTATTTGTGTTTTATTCCTAGAAAGTTTTTTTCTCTGAAGAAATGGCCTCCAGCACTGGAAATGGAAAGGGCGTGAATCCTGTGCTCAGAATAAGTCAACTTGATGCTCTTGAACTAAACAAAGCCCTGGAACAACTCGTGTGGTCCCAGTTTACCAACTGTTTTCATGGATTTAAACCAGGGGTGTTGGCTCACTTTGAACCAGAAGTAAAAACATTTTTATGTCTTATATTATGGAGATTCACAATCTATTCCAAGAATGCAACTGTGGGACAGACTATTCTGAATATTCAGTATAAGAATAACTTATCTCAGGCAGAGAAATACCAACCTCTGAGCAAACACCAGAAGTTATGGTATCTTATTTTCACTGTTGGTGGAAGATGGTTAGAAGAAAGATGTTATGATTTATTTAGCAATCGTCAACAACAATCTTTCTCCAGAATTAAGAGCTATATTAGCTTTGGAGCTGGACTTCTAAAACTTTGTGGACTTGTAAATTTTCTGATTTTTCTTCGGAAAGGAACATTTGCAACACTTACAGAACGCATTCTAGGAATTAGGTCAGTTTTTTGCAAGCCGCAAAGTGTTCGTCAGGTAGGATTTGAATACATGAACAGGGAGCTCTTGTGGCATGGCTTTGCTGAATTTCTGATTTATCTGCTGCCACTTATTAATGTACAGAAACTGAAACTTAAGATTTCTTCTTGGTGTTTGCCTATTGCAGGTCTTTCCAATAGTGAAAACACATTAGCAGACCACTGCAGGGAATGTTCTCTGTGTGGGGAATGGCCTACCATGCCTCATACCATAGGCTGTCCACATGTTTTTTGTTACTACTGTATTAAAAGTAACTACTTATTTGATATGTATTTTACATGTCCTAAATGTGGCTCAGAGGTACACACTCTTCAACCACTGAAGTACAAAATTGAAATGACAGAATTGCATGTCTGATATGCAGTTGATTTAGTTTTATACAATATGTGAAATATATTGAAGAGAATAATGGAAGAATTCAGAGGCTATTGGAAGCGTAAAGATGGTTTTGAAGACTCTGTAGTTTGTCGTAACATGTATTTTTACTGCTCTTAGGTTTTTTATTGAGTAACAGTTCTGTAATGCCCCAGTCTGCTTGGCAGGTTTTGGGAAAGGTGGTTCGATATACTCCAGGTGGTGCATGGAAGAAGCAACAAAATTCTCAGGAAGTTCAATAACAACCTTTACTTGCAAACTGTAGAACATTCCAATTGACTAAGACACTTGAGACACTTAAAGTTGGCAATCTTTAACTCATCCAGACACAACGAGGCACTTAGCAAGGCATCTACTGGAACCTTTTGGTCTGGCCTACAATATATTTTGATTAGAAGAAGGTAGGAGAAGAGAGAGGCAGGGTAGATTATCACCACTCTAGGATGCAGTGTGGTCTCAGCAGCTTTTAAATCCAGGGTAGTGGAGCACACCACGTGGCACACTGTCGGCGGTGGGAGTGGAAGGCTTAGACAAAATTTATTGAAGAAGCCCTACTGTTGAGTCATGAGGTGCAGAAAGTATCTAGCCTTAGCTTCAGATTTTGTCAACGGTTTAAACTGAAGGAATTTTAGTGGTGTGATGGAACCACCTTTGTCCCGCAGGTTTTAATGATGGCAAACCAAGAATGTTTATGTGAAATGAATTGTTTATTATTACATATGTTCAGACAAAGACAATTCAAGCCAGAATTATTTACTACACAATACAAATGCTAAAACTACTGGTAGTATAGTATAAGATAGGACAGTGCTCTATATTGAAGCAATTCTTGAAGCAATTATATTAAAGGCAGGAAAAAGAAATAATTATTAAGTAGAGATTTAATGTAACTTAGCCATACCAACGCTTGTGGGGAGATCTCTTCTGCTCAACTTCAAGGAATATCCTTGGGGGGCATCCCCAGCCCGAGTAAGGAATCTGCACGTATACCCCAAGAAGAGTTATGTTAGAAGAACCTGAATCTATGAAAGGGAACTGGGCTTTTATAGTACAAAGCGATTGACTGCTAGTCACAGATTTGCAGACCAGGTACCAGATTATCTGTCACATCCAAATTCAAAATGCAAGCTTTGTGTTTGGAATGTGGTGAACCAGGCTGGCTTTAGCATAATTTAACACCAAAAACGTTACCATGGCACCACTGGTAACTCATCACAGATAGCTTGTATTGCTTGCATTCTCTGATCAGATTCTGGGCTTTATCAGGGTAGGCCCTCCTGCCACATGCATGTGCCGCCATCCTTTTATCTCTTCTGGTCTGCTGGGACCCTTCCCTGTGTGAGTTGATGCTAATATCAGCACTGAAGTCTCATGGATGTGTTTGCACAGATCCAAAGTGTTCCTGTTGAGTCCATGCAGTTAACTGCCCCTGTTACCATGTGGAGAGATGGCTGAGTTCCCAAATGCGTGTGTTCTGCACACCGCAGTGTGAGAAGGCTCAAGGGGGCAGGGGGAGCAGTGCACAGCCCTCTTCCCCCACTGCTTCCCACCTGGTTGTTTTGTCCCAGTCAGCCATTCCTATGGTCTCTTGCCAGCTTGGCTCTGAAGCAAAGAAAACGGGTTCACCAGCTCTTCTACTCTCTCTCAGACTACTTGATCCCACTTTGGTACCTCTGTGTTGTCAAGTCACTTGTTTTTAGATCTAGTCTTATCAGCCTGCCACTTCTCCACTGCATGCTCTATACTTCCCTCAAAGACAGAGAAGACGCCCAGTAAGCTCTTACCCATTTTGTGTGTTTTCTCAAGGTTGTTGTAAAAGTTTGTGCCATTATTAACTTAGCTAATAGATGGATTCAGTGGGAAGTCATCCTTTTTGTGCCTAAAGAATAATTTTAAATTATCCTGCTCTTTGCTTTCACTATTTGGTTTCTTAGTTGGCTTTACGATGGTGTTACTGTTCTTCTACATTTATTCTTCAACCTGGTTTTATAAGGTTATTTTTTGTAGCCCTTTTTTAATAGGAAGTCTTACCCAGAAGAATCTCATTAACACAAAAATACATTGCATCCTCTTTTGACTCTTATATTTTCAAAAACTTATACAGATGAATTGAGTAAATAGCTTTATGGTGGCTGTGTTCTTGATTGGCTATCATCAATAGTCAGTCCCAAATATACTATGGTAACGGCTGATCCAATATCTTTGATCTACTTTTATGAAATGATTTATTTCATTCTTCATTCTACATTCTGATTAAAACAACCCACCAGCCTTTTTGTTTGAAGATCTTAAATTCTAGGTTTTGATCTTTAGAGTGACACACTTCGCTTTCATCTGATGCAATTAAATATAGTTTGCAAGTTTGTAACTATCTTTGGGCGTCCCAAAACTTCATTAATTCTGCTACTGTTCTGTGCATCATCAGAGACTTCAGAGCATTTGCTTCCACATACTGTACCGCAATGTTATTTGCCATCAAATGTGTATATTAGCAGCCTGCCATATTTTTGTTATTTGCTGCTGCAATTAGAAACAGCAGGTGCAAATCTGCCTTTAGTAGAAGAATCAAAACTGGCAAGACAGTAGGGGAGTATCCCAGAGTCACTTCCTGATCCTAGAAACGTTTTATATTAATTGTCCCTCCACCTCACTTAATACCTTTTAGCAAAGAAATGTATTACCAGCCCTGACTTTACAGTGGTCTGAGTGTCTTCAGAAAGCATCATCAGCATTTCTGCTACCTCTATCTTTAACTATCCTTATTAATTAAGATCTTTAAGCATCCAAAATCCAGTGTTTGTAGCTTAGAATAATAGTAGACTTTTGTTTGTTGTGGACTCTGTTTACTCTGAAGTTGAAGTCGCGGTGTAATATTTTGTCAAAGGAGCACTCTGTTAGGTGTCATGTCCTTCTTAGGTAGGAGTTATCTTCTTTCCTATTTAGAAACATTTCATTTTTTTGAATATTTAAAAAATGTTACCTTCCTTTTTCATTCCACCTTTCTCTGTCCTGCTGTTTGATTTTCCTAAGCTGTATGAATTTCCTGAGGTTTGTTTTGTCTCTTGCAGCGTCATGCAGATAAAATATATAGTTTCTCATCCCTGTTACACTGTCAGTACAAAACCTGTTTCCAGCAGTTCAGTACCTCTGTTGTACAGCTGTGCTATATTCCATTTGACCTTACTGTTTTTCTTCTGGACGTGAACTTTTGATACTTAACTTCTGATGACTTATTATACCAAAGCACTGGCCTGATAACGTAGCACCTCCTCATCTCTGTGTTGGGTCTGTAGCCCATAGAATTGACCAAGTCTATAAAGTCTGTTTCTTGTGTCATAACCAAGCAGTTTGTGCTACCATAAGATCCTAGATCTTAAGGTAGGGGTTTAGTTCTTTTATTTTCTGTGCAGGTAAACAGATACCAGGCATCTCACAGTAGTAGAAGGTTTGGGAAGAGAGCAGTTCTTTTAGTCAGATAAAGAATTACTTAATTTTTTTTAATCTGCCATGTGGTGAAACCTTTGCTCAGTTTAGTCAGAGCTGAGATTGATGAGACCAAGGTTCCAACTTACATATTGAAAAGCTACCTGCAGCAGCTTAGGTTTTTAGGACTTCAAAATCAATATTCAGCATCTTCCTTTTAGCTCTTTAAAATTAAATATATACCTTTTTTTATATTGTGATTCTGTTTTGTTGTATCTTGTGATATATAAGCTGCAGAAAAGACCTACTTGAAGATATTACAGGGAAAAAAATCAGATAATTTGTAGACTAATCAAAGGATAATTAGTTTTACATACTACTACATCTGGTAACGCTTCCTACAGTAGAGGGAATAAAATTTATTTTGGAATGTTAATCTCTAAATAAAAGGGTTTTAGTTTTCAGCAACCATGAGAATGTACTTCTGAGTAGTCATCAGTGAAAAGGATAAATGCCTAGAATTTAAGGAAGCTATAGGACCAGAACTTTTATTCAGTCTTGGATAGGAGTTACAGCCTTGTATTACCAGGTTTCTTTGTGCTCTGTTATTCGCCTTCATTTTAATTGTATCAAAAATCAAAAAATTAAGTGGTTACTGAAATTGATTGATTATATTATAAACATACTTGAAAATTTTTCACATCTTCATTTGAATGAGAATTACCAGTTGCCACAGTGTGATTCAGGAGGCATTCAGCTGAAAGGAGTCAGAGAATGCTAATTCCCTGCTTGCACAAGCCACTATGACTCCATCGACTCTATATGCTTGAAGAGAGGTTTTTTTAAGTAATGTTATACAAGACCTAAAAGCAAGATTTTCTGTAAAAAAAAAATGAGAAGGATACTATCTGATTTCTTTATTACCTGGAAATATTTCATTTTTCCATAAATGATGGACTAGGATGATCTCAACATTAGTGAAGATGTGAAGAAAAGCAAGACATATATATTTCCTAAAAATCTAATGAATGTCTTTATTTGAGAATACTACTACAGTTGTTATCTGGGATGTATCATTCGTATGAAATCCAAGTTGACAAATAAATTATACTTTTTGACAGGAAGTTCTGAAGTTTGTCTTTTTCTTTTGAAGGGTAGTTATGCTTACTCAGTGGGCGGTTTCATACTTTGGTATTTATGAGACTAAAATGCAAAGTGAGAAACTAGTTTAGAGTTCACTTTAAACTTTTATTCAGTTTTAGGTTCCAAAGCTTTTTAATATTTCTTTTTGTGAGCAAACTAGTCATAGCAACAAATTACCAACCATTATACTTTACTATGTGTTTGCTAGGAAGCTGTCTTGGCTTGTTCTAAGAAGAGGGTATTGTGACATGACTGGACACAGGATAAGGTCACATACTGACTGCCACGATAGATAGTGAAGCTGATGGTCATTTACTTTTAATAACAAAAGTATGGTAGCCTGGATTACTGCAGCTCACAGTGAATACAACCAAAACCAAGGAGCAGTTTCAAAATGGTGCTTCCACTCGTTATGCATTCCCAGGAAAAACTCTTAGTAGAATTGGTTGAGTAGATTCCACCTGCCTGCCTTCAACCTCCCAGGAGAACTTTCTGTGCTGACAACATCAAAATGTCCACCAAAATTGTTACCTCAGACCTAAGTTTCCACCATTCCAGGGG